TTCTTGGGCCATATTTAGTTTTCTTCAACACACCTACAACAAATTAACTTTCCCAAGGCAGCTTCCAGTCTCGCTAGTAAGAGAAACAGTTTCCACGGTGGCTCCTGGCTCAGCGTCCTGTGTACGGTGAGAGGAGCGGCTCTGAGCCCGCCTTGCTGGGGTGGTCTCTCCAGTTGTCCAAAAGCGGCTGCACCACCCTCCGTCGCATTCTGTGCGGAGTGAGCCAGCTCCAGCGCTGCGCAGCGGTAAACCAGTGACACTGGAATTCGTGTGTTTATGCACTCAGCTTTCCCATGCTTCTGGATCAGTTTTTTAAGACTATTTCCAGCGTGGGATGGCGATGGAAGTGTATCTTCTCAGGAATAGGGTTCTTGAGATGTGAGTGCTTAATAAGGCTGCAGTTAACACCACTGCTGTTAATGACCGGCAAGTTGAATTCCTTCTGTTCTGTGAAAGTTGCTAGTACCAAAATAGGTTCACTTATATCAAACCCTAACAAATGGGGTGGGAAGGTCACGACAGGGCACCCTCACACATGAACACCTGTGAGGGGCCTCATCTCAAGACACCCCCACACAGGCCACACGTTCACCCCATCAGGATGCGTAGCATGTTGGTATGACAGATAAGTGGCCCCCACAAGGAGCTCGTGCCAGCTCTGGGACAAGCTCTGCTAACTAGAGATTTCTGTTACAAAGCAGCTTATGTGGAGTTCTCTCTGTCTTTAAAAATCTCCCCTTTGCCCCCGCCCCTGCAGCGTGCCTGTGATCTATCAGAGCATACAATTCCCTGCTATTCCCACTTAAACGTACTTGTTCTGGAGAGCCTGTATCTCTGAATTTCCTTTTAGGTGGACTGTTCAAGGCCCCTAACACTTTAATCCACTTAATCCAAAGAGTACCTCTTGTATCAGGGAAGTCCAGGGGAACAGCCCTCTCTTGTTCCTGGCCTTGCAGTTGCACTGCTGAGTTTCCAAACATGGGATTTCCTGGTTATCTTTTGTTATAAATTCCTGGCTCTCTGCACTGTGAGCACTCTCTGTATGATTTCATACACTATCTGTATGATTTCTGTCCTTTCAAAAGGATGCTTTTTCATGGCCCAGCGTACGGTCAAATTTTGCAAATGTTGTAAGCATACTTCTGTGTTGAAAAGTTTTATGGTTTCCTGTTCCCTGCGGCTATTTCCGATTTTGTCTTTTGTGCCTTGAAGGCGTGTAAGTGTGGCCATCCTGTCATCTGTGTCTGAACATCTGCCCTGAGGTTCCTGCGGGGCTGGCCATGGCTTCTCTGCAGGATTGATTCACTTCGCAAGATGTTCGGTGTCACTGAGACACTGGAAAGTTGGCAGCATCTTGAGATATGATCAGTCCGGGGCCACCTTAAGCTCATTTCACAACTCGAGGGTTTTTGGTCACCGTGACGTTAAGCTAATTTGGTGACTCGGGGAGGTCTCAGGCACCGTGACGTTAAGCTAATTTGGTGACTCGGG